AAAAATAATTTATGTCCGAAAAAAATTAAAATATACCTTGAAATTTTATAGAAAATCATATATACCCGTAAATAATTTTTTTAAGAAATCAAAAGTCAAAAATATAAATTTAAAACTAATTTTTTCACTTCCGTTAAATGAAGGGTATATGTAAGCTCATTTTGTAATGGTAGGGGTATATGTGAGCCGTTTGTTTAACGGTAAGGGCATATATGAACCACTTTCATAACGAGGGGCTTATCAGCTCCAAATGACAAAGTTGAGGGGGTATATCAGGCCCTTTTCCCTTTATTAAATTCGTATAAATTGACAGCGATCGAAAGTACTACTTCCCAAGACAGAGTATGACCGATTAAACTAATATCCCAAAGATATAAGGAAGCAGATTTGGTAATCTAAGGAAGAAACTTTATAATCAAATTTGACATATGAATGTAAAGTGTGTGTACAAAAATCTTGGTTAATATTGTAGTATTTGCTCAACCAATATAAATTCTTATGGTTTTTAAACCCCAATTAAATGGTATCCCAATATAGATAACAAGTATATAAATTAATAAGGATAATAAAAGGCAAAACAAAACATAAAATAACAAAAAACAACTCAAATTAAGATAAACTGATTTGCATGTCATTATAATCCCCACAACTTGAGCTCCAATCTCATATGATTAAAATCACAAAAATAGCCACAATAATATGAAACCTGTCAAAATAATTAAAAAAACAACTCAAATTAAAGGAAATAAAATATAAGTGTGACAAATTAAATTAGAATAATAATTTTTAAAAATATAAATATTTTTATATAAATAATAAATAATCACCATTTTATTTTCGTAGTAGTTGTAGACGATGGTGCTGGAGGAGGCGGAGGTACTGGAGCTACAGGGCTTGGTACTGGCTCTGGCTTTGGACTTGGTGGTGGTGGTGGTGCTGGTGGAGGCGCCTGCACAATTCCTATAATTTTCGAAAGTCAAATAAAATGACATTATATCTTTTGTACCAAAAAGATTATAAAAAAATCTCTTTTTTTTTTACATAAATAAATTTATTTAAAGAAGAAAAAAAAGAAACTAACCACAATAGAGTAGATTTTTAGGGGGAATGAGTTCTTTGGCTGGATTAGGATCAGAGTCATAAACTCTAATATAAAGTTCTTGTCCTAAGAACCAATTTTTCAATTTTTGTGACCTTAAATTCCACATCCCTGGATTGTCTAGATATACATATACAGCTGTCCATCCTTTTGGGTAAACCTATAAATATATAATTAAAAAAAAAATCATACAATTTTAGCATATACTATAAAGTTTTAGGGATTTGACTATAGGGTTTATCGAAAGAGAGAAATCAATAATATAGTTAGTTAGTCACCTGAACAGTAGAACGAACAACTGGATCATAAAGATTATATGTAGATCGCGATTCAGGTTTCCAATTTCCAAAACCATACCTAAGATTTCAACAATTGAAATAACAAAATTATGATTATAAAACTTTATTTACTATAATAATGAAATTAAAAAAATTATTTTTTGTCATAATAATAAAATGTTACCCAACAACGAAGAAGCTAAATCCATCCAAATGCCAAGAATCCATGACTTGTAACTCATTCTTAAAGACAATTTCTAGCCAACCTTTGTGTTCACCAGACACAACAAATGTTCCATAAACAACCTCCGGTAGGCTAACGTTAGCCGGAAATTTATCGAGCTCGTAAACTCCGGCTCCGTTAAGGTAATAATCAGCCAGTTTCAATGGTGTTTTTGGTGTTGCATAAGATACATTGTTGATGGCATAGTTTATCATACCATTCTTATAGTTCAATGAATTTTGGAGAACAAAAGTTTGTGACAATGTCACATTTGATACATTAAATGTTCCTTGTGGATTAGGCCTTGCTGCACCTGTTGTCAAATTCCACCTGAAAAATAAATAAATTAAAGTTTAGCCTATCATGCAAAAATGGGGAAAAAAAATCTAATATACCAAAAAGAAAAATAAATTTAACTTCGGAATCGAGGGTAAAATTCAAAAATAGTCATTTTCAGAACGAGTAATTGATAAATAGCTACTTGCTGAAAAATAGTATTTGGTGAAACCATAGACTGTTATGGATTTCAAGTTTAAAAAAGCTAAACTATGTCGTTGTATCAAGGACACTATCATAGAGTTTCACCTTTTTTAAGTTCACAATCAATGTAAATGTAGTGGATTTTAAAAATTGTGACAATATCATAGATTTTTTCACTTGTTTAAGTTTGAAATCCACTATTGTATCATGGTGTTTCCCATCAAAAGTGGCTACTTTTCAAAGAATTTTTTAAATATTGGGTATTTTTTAAAGTTGATCTTAAAAGTAGTTTTACCCAAGTGGATGGGATCATTTGCAATTTACCTCTATTTTTGGTTGGTCTTTTATTTATGATCATCATAATCACAAGGTTATATTTTCGTATCATAATATCCCGCAAATTATATTTGAACATGACTTTAAGTTATGTCCACTAGGAATAAGTTCGATTCCAAAAAGGCAAAAATGAAATTCAGCTCATTTAAAGGACAAATTTTAAAGATCGACCCATTTGAAAGGCAAAACGGGCAATTAATCGAATTGGATGTTGCAACTAAATGGGCCTACCTGATGGATCTAGCTTGACTGATAGAAAAGTTCACATCAAATGGGTCAGGCCCATTTGGAATAGGCCCATCAGCAGATTTGGTTGAGTTTTCATAGTGTAATACACCAATAACTTGAAGAGTTTTGAGTTGAGTTGAATTAGCCATTTTTGCAGTTGCAACTATGTAATAATCAGCAGCATCTTGATCAGCTGTGACAAGAACAGAATATGATTGGCCCACGTGGACGTCGAGAGAATTTAACGTGATTTGATTGGTGTACGAGCCTTCGGTTTCCACCAATAACATGGTATGGTTTTCGATTCGAAAATTGAAACTCCATTCACTTCCCACATTTGAAATCCTCAATCTATACGTTTTTCCTGAAAATCAATAATAAAAAATGTCAATATATATTTGTTTGTACAAAAATAAATTTGTGATTTCTTACTAGATGGTCATTGTGAGAAAACATTAGACCGCGATCTAAAAATTTATTGACGTTAGACGCCAGTCTAATGTTTTTTCAGTCCCAAGAGTTATATCTGCACAACTTTTAAAATAGAGACAACATTTCGAGAATCTTTAAAATAAAAATAAAAAAGGAGGGGAGGGGGGATTGGGTTTATTACCTTGATTTATTGTGAAGGATTCATTGGATTTTGCTTTTGGATCTAAATATGAACCTTTCCCATTCATAAGCATCATGTTTGGAGTTTTATTGTAGCCTTCATGTGCCAACTTGTTTCCAATAACCTATTCATTTTTTTCAAAAATCTAAAATAATTTAGTTAAAGGAAATTTTAACTTTATTTATGCAAGGAAAAAAATAAATGTGAACAAATATAACTTTTTTGTTAGAAAGATGAAGCATGAAAATTTAGTATAACATAAATTATAGGATGACAACACTTTTGATCCCTAAGTTATTGATAAATTCAGCTTCGGTCCTTATGATATATGACTTATCATAATTAACCGTCAATCTATTAAAATGTGTGTTTAGATATTTTCATGTAGAAAATAAGTTATATGTGAATATTCGTAGAATTATATTATCATCAAATATGAAGTAACAATACAAAGGGATGGAACGTATGAATAAGATTATTTACCTTGAAGCTATTTTCATACCAATCACCAATTAGAAGATCGAAATCCCCTTCGGGCTCCGGGAATGGGGGTTGGATCCTGACCCGATTATTAATTCGAATTGGGCCGAATCCTCCACCGGCCTTTTCGTAATGTAGGCTTGGGAAATAGAAGAAACTTCCAATTTGGTCTTTTAATTGAAACTCATAAGTCCAATTAGTATTGGGCCGGATCGCGCAATTGGTACCCGAAACTCCATCTTGCCACGAGTTATGCCTTTGTTGGATCCCATTCCTATAAGGCCCAATAAAGAAAACTTGCCTTGTTATAGGGCGTATCTGGTACGAAGAAAAATATTTTTCACGAAAAAATGTGTTGTAAAAGTATCTTTACATAATTTAAGCGAAAACTATGGTATGGAAGTGGAATTGATGGGCCGGACAAGACGGGGAGGGGAAGGAGAGATTGGGCTGAGTTTGGAGGTAGGGAGGATTTGCAGGGTGAAGTGATTTTACATTATAATAAAAATAACTTTTAGCAGCAATAAATATGCACATTAACAAAGAGCGCTAAAGTTTTTACCAATATCAGTTAATTGTCGTTGAATCTAATGTCGTTATAGGCTTTAGTGACATTTACAAAGAGTGTTAATTGCCTCTAACAACGTATTTAGCGACAATTAATTATTACCATTAATTAATTGCCACATTATTAAAAATATTCTTAGAATTTACCATGTAATAAGGACAGGATATTTGTCCATATCATTGAACACATTGACATGAATATTATCATTGGTGGTTGCATTCAGTAGAGGTCCAGGAAATTTACCATTGATAGTTATCACCTGAAAATAAAATTATTAAAATTATAATACATTGTAAATATAAAGTCGGCGAGTTCTGAATGAGTATTAACTATATGTATGAATTTATTTAATTTTTTTGGCATATCTATATATAATTTGAGTGTAAAGTAATGAATTTGATTAACTTCGGCCAATCGGCCTACATCCACTTTTGGATTCACTAACATAGAAAACATGGGCGGATGTAGACATGAATAACGAGTTAATTAAAACCTAATGACTTTGATTCAAATCGTGTATATATTGTATCAAAATATGTACTAAAGTTAAATTGATAACCTCAATACATGGCACTTGAAGTAAGTTACTCCTAAAATTATATCATCTGACTTTGCCCTAGATTCGTGTTTGCATTCACTAACATAAAAAAATAATTGAGGGGGGATATAAAATTGAATTACGAGTTCGATCAGATCTAGTGACTTCGATTCAGACAGTGTTTATGTGTCAAAAAATTCACGAATCATAGATACAAAAGTTAAATTCATAATCTCAATTACAAATCATATGTATATTATAGTCCTGACTTTGCCTCTAATTTCAAACTCATTTGCTAGCACTCAAGACCATGTCCTAAAACCCAAAAGCTATAATTCTGAGTCCTGACTGTGCCTCTGAATTCAGAACCCATAAAATTTAAATTCTAAATATATTTCCGATACAAAACAAACTCTAAATATAGTAAAGATAAAAAAGAATTGTAAGAGTTTTGAGATCATACTGGTTGATCCACAGATACTGGTTTGATATTATTGTCTTCATCAACATGCCACTCAAGAAATATTTCTTCTCCATTAATAATATTAATTTGCATAGAAAAAAAATAAAATAAAACCAAGAAAAGAACTAGCCATATTGGTAATTCTTCCCTCATTAATTCTCTCCTTAATAACTTATAAATCTCACTATAATGATGATTAATGAAGTTATAAGCTATGTTTTAGATAAGAAATTAGGCAAAATATGAAAATTAGATTCTTATAAAAAAAATAATCATAGCATTGTTTTTGTCTAAGAAAAATACAACTATACATTTGCTGGAGCCTGCTAATTATTTTAATTAGAGAGGGCCTTTAAATAAGGTTAATTTAACTTATTTGTTATCGATAGGATATTAACTTTTGTGAATATTTTTATTTCCTTAAGAAATTATTTAATTTAAAAATATTTTCAGAAAAAAGACAAACTAATAAATTACAAATGTTATAATACCATCCAAATTTTTCTCATTGTAATTCTCTCTCGTAATCCTCTATTCCACGTCGATGTGTACTCTCTACGTCTTAAAATATTTATCACATTTCTCTTTTAACAGACAAATTATTAAAAAAATATGATCTATATTTTAAAATGTATTTTTTTCATGAAGAATTGCAATATACGGTAATTTTCGTAGTTTTAAAATATTTGGATTTTAATTTTATAATATTGAATGGATTTAATTAAATTTATGTTCTTAAATTAATTAAATTGACTCTCAACAAGCGAAAACGCGAGTGTTTCAAAAACATCAATTGAATTGAAAAAATTAAATTAAAATAAAATGAAGAGGTTAGAGTAGTTAATCTTCCACGGCCTTTTGGTACATCAATTTAGTTAAATTGGTAATGAATAAGTACTGTTACGTTAATCTACAAAATGTATTAAATTATAATTATCGATGTTACTTTAAAAATATTTACGTATGACATGTTAATTATCCAACTTTCAATTTATTACATCGTAAAATTAAGTTAGTAATTAAAACTAACTCAAATATGCCCATAGATCATTTCTAAATATTATCACGTGAATATTATGCAAAATGAATTGTTACTAATGTTACATCTTTTAGGGGCAAAAACTTGAGAAAAAACCCCAAAATATAGTAAAAGAGGCATACTTTTGCTAGCTTTTCCAAACCTAGTTAATTGTACCGTCCATAATTCGTTTATTTATTAACTCAATTCTTTTCAACTCACTCGTTTAACGCGCCTTCATATCGTGCATCTCTTCCATCACATACCCATTTACAATCCGCTTAAGTCAAATTTGGAGGAACTTTATTACCAATTTAGATCCTAACTAATTCAAATTCAAGTCAAAACACCCCACCAAAAGGTCCCACTTTGGGAAAAGTACTCCACCAAAGAGGATTTTATTCGCGAGCTAAAATCATAAACCTTTAATTAAATACTGAAGAATCACTTACTACTCCACCAAAAAGGATTTTATTCGCAAGATCAAATCTTAAACCTTTAATTAATAATAAAAATATACTTACCACTCCATCAATCCATCAATGAAAAAGATTTTATTCGCAAGCTCAAATCATAAACCTATAATTAATAATGGAGAAGTACTTACTACGCAAAAGGTGATGTGTACGTAGTCTTCCATCCTTACCTCTACCTTCATATGCTGTTTACGGTAAACCTTCGACTCAAGTCTAAGGTATCAAAGCAGGTAAGAGAGAAATCCAATAGAGAAAATGCAATAACCAAAACAAAGGAAACAACAGGTAATAACAAATCGAAGAATAAGAAAGTAGGAGAAATATTACTTATAACAAAAAAAAAATTGTTTTGATACAAAACTTGTACATCTCTCCACAAGATGATGATATATATATATATTGTACATGTTTATATTGAACGACTTTCTTTAAGCCACAAAATTCATTTGGTACAAGTCCTGTTACATCTCCCCATGAGATAAAAGAGGCTTTATGGCACCATTCTTGTAAAAGATTTTAACAAATGAAAAAAAAAAATCTTTACATCTAAGTACACGAACGTAATCTAGCTACGGCAAGCGAAAAAAAGAACAGTACCTTCACTAGATTGATCGATGAGCTTGTCGTCTGACTGCACATCCTTGTAACGAGCATCACGCTCCGTTCAAGAGTTTTCCTCTGAACTGCAGTATAGTTTAGCACAAGTATATCAACTAGGAGCAACAGTTTCCGCTACGTTGAGACTTGTGCACTTCTTTCTGTTTCAAGATTGGTTTTTTCACTACTGCAGAACCTTTCTCCACTAGACTTGGTACATCTAGTATCTGTAAGGGAAATTTGAGCAGTTTTAGCAAACATCAAGTGTACGGAATCACACGCTGCAACAACTAGCTCGCGAATTTGATGAAGCAGCCAGAAGAGATCACGCAGAATAGTTCAAAGCTCGTCTCTCCTGGCCGCTTCATCAAGTCTTGAGATACTTTGAACTATATACTATCAGAGACGCATAATGCTTCGAAAGTGAAATATTTGGCATAAGAACCAAACTAACAAAAAGCATAGTGTGGCGTTAGTTATATCTCATATTTTAAACTTTCAGCAATTAACACATCAGCTCAGAAGGTATAGCTTTGCAAAGAGTTGTTTCCCTGCATGTCGAAATAACTAGATACAATTCTACATAATAGTAAGGGTTGAGAAAAGTTGAAAGGGTATTGTAGACGCGTGTATTTACGTCTGAAATCTTATTAAAATATTATTCTGTTTTGTTGTCTATGAACAATTAGCGAATTTTTTTTCACTAGTTGCTTTTTGTTTACCTCTTCCTGTGTATTGGCAAACCAAATATCTATACACGCGGCTACAAGAAACTACGATCAACTATATCTTTAACCATAGTGGAGAAAAAGTGCCTTTGAGGAGTACCTTAAGTGTGAGATCTTTAAAACATAGCTGCACGTTTTCTCTTGTCCTAGCGCTACATTCGAGAAATAAACAATTGTGCTCCTTCGCAAATGCCAGGCCTTCTTCTCTAGTTACAGCTCTTTCACTATCCTGAAATAAGTTATGTCAGCAAAATGAGCAAATTCACCGTAATTGAGCTTGAGATGAGAATACTCGAGCATGATTGATGGGACGGAAATCATAAGACAATTAAAGTGGCTTTAGCAATGTTTTTCGTCAAAAGCAAAGTGTGAAACACTTCAACTTCAACAAAAATTGACTGATTTGTCTAAGTGAACTAGTGGAGCTGTAACATGCATTGATCAGGTTCACAGACCGTGACTCGAGAATATAATTCGTAAATAGGACATTTTTTTTCAAATACAAATAAACCACCAATTTTCACATTTTGTTCCTCATCCTAGGTGAATTCAAACAATAAAATGAATGGATTAACCCAACATTCGATGTCATCATGATACAAAAGGATAAGCTACACTCACCCTATCAACTTTGTTCCCAACTAGCATCTTGATACACTCGGGATTCGTGGAGTAAGACTTTATATCCTTCGCCCAAGTTTCTGATAAGTTTGTAAAGGTCTCTCGCCTTGTTACATCATACACTAAGATTAGAAAAGATCAATATTAGTCAACGTTAAAAATAGCAACTAGCAGTTCACTCCGCAGCAATGACACAAATTAAGCACATATCTATCAATCATAAACTAATTCAAAAAGCAAGAGCAATTATCTCTGATGTCTTACCTAGAATTATTCCGTGAGCCCCTCGATAATATGAGCTTGTTAATGCTCCAAACCTCTCTTGTCCAGCTGCACAGAGATAACAGATACTCAAAACCCTTACTTGAAATTGCATAAAAGGGGAAATTGGCGACTTTTAAGAAGAATAAGTTGAGTAACGTGATATTTATGTTGGTGCATTTTTCAGAAGGCGGCACATGCCTACCAATACTGAACAGATTGTACTGTATACAATTTCCTATATAAAATAGCATAACAGCAAAATTATGTTTTATTACCTGTATCCCAAATTGTTAATTTCAACCTCTTGCCGCCAACAGTTAACATCCTGATTTTGAAGTCCACACCTATATTTGTATTAAGAAATTCAGCTAATAAGCAAAAAGAGTGGCGATTAGAACTCATAAACTTAACATCCTAAATCCGCTTCTGCCTTGATTCTTTCCACGGAAAAAAGCTAGTCTTACTAGTCTATACTTCCACTCATCATAATCCTAGTAAAGAAAGATATAAAAGGTAAAGAAATTAAGAGCATCACAAGTGCAGCAAATACATATAATACTTATTCTATTTCCATAAACAAGCGCAATTCAATCAATTTCCAGAGATAATTAATCATTAGAATGTCAAATATTTCAAAACAAATCAAGTTTGCCAAAAGAACTACTCCCTCTGTCAAACAATTTATGTTTGATCGGAAATTTGCATATGGAATCTTTAATTTTTTTGAATTGAAATTTATATATTTGTAAACTACATAAAAAGAACTATAAATCACAATAATTGATAATTCAAAATGTTCAAAAGATCTATGAAAAATTAACAATCAAAGATAGACTTGTTTGAATCTCGAAATCTGAAAAGTGCCACATAAAATGGGACGGAGGGAGTAATACAAGTCCCATTCCCTGATTAAGTAACCTGAAGAAAACCATAGTGGAAATCAGGTAGGGAGCTATAGCTAGCTCTGCCTATGGTTTGGCTCAAACTCTATATTTGTATTTAAAAATTCCACTTAATAACATAGGTAACTTTATTAAGAACCAATAAACTACGTTTTTCTAAAATCTAGAATCCATTAACTCAAAATTCTAGCTCCACCTATGATCCGAAATCCATCAACTCAAAATCCTAGCTCCGCCTATGATCCAAAATCCATCAACTCAAAATCCTAGCTCCACGCCTCCGCCTATAATCCAAAATCTATCAACTCAAAATCCCAGCTCCGCCTATAATCAAAAATCTATCAACTCAAAATCCTAGCTCCACCTATAATCCTTAATCCATCAACTCAAAATCCTAGCTCCACCTATAATCCAAAATCCACCAACTCAAAATCCTAGCTCCACCAATAATCCAAAATCCATCAACTCAAAATCCTAGCTCCACCTA